CTTTCAAAATGATACATTTTATGTATATTTTACCAGTTTTTTATTTTTAAGAGTTTCTTTCTTTATTTGACAGAGAGAGAGAGCACAAGCATGGGGAGGGGCAGAAAGAGAGGGAGAAGCAGACTCCTCGCTGAGCAGGGAGCCAATGAAAGTCACAGACTGCAAGAGAAGGAGTAAAACTCTCCTTGTTTGCAGATGATCCACTTGTTACACAGAGAATCCAGGAAATCCACAACGATTCCTAAAGCGAATAAATGGATTTAATATGGTCAAAGGTCACAAGGTTAATAACATACAGAATCAATTATGTTCTTATGCACTAGTAGCAAATAACTGGAAAACAAAATTAAAACTAAAATCCAACTCACAGGGCAGCCTGGGTGGCTCAGCGGTTTAGTGCCCACCTTCAGCCCACGGCATGATCCTGGAGTCCCGGGATCAAGTCCCACATCAGGCTCTCTGCATGGAGCCTGCTTCTCCCTCTGCCTGTGTCTCTGTCTTTCTCTCTCTGTGTGTCTCTCATGAATAAATAAATAAAATCTTTAAAATAAAATAAAATAAAATAAATAAAATAAAATAATAAAATAATAAATAATAAAATAAAATCCAACTCACAGTAGCACCAACACAACTATAAGATAACTGGGGATAAGTTGAACCAATGAATTCCAAAACATCTACACTGAAAATTATAAAGCACTGCTGAGAAATTTAAGTCTCAAACAGAAAGATATATACCATGTTCATCGTTTGGAACATTCAAACTATTAGGATAACAATTTTTCCCACATTCATCTATAGATTCATCGCAATCATATTCAAAATTCTAGGGCAGCCCCAGTGGCGCAGTGGTTTGGTGCCGCCTGCAGCCAGGGGCGTGATCCTGGAGACCCGGGATCGAGTCCCACCTCAGGCTCCCTGCATGGAGCCTGCTTCTCCCTCTGCCTGTGTCTCTGCCTCTTTCTCTCTGCATCTCTATGAATGATTAAATAAAAATCTTTAAAAAAAAAAAAGGATTTGTATCTGAAATGTGTCAGGAATTTATACAACTCAACACCAAAAAAAAAAAAATCCAAACCACAAATAATCTGATTATTTACATCTTCGGCCCATTTTCAGATGTTTCTCTGAAGACATATGGACGACCAACAGACACATGAACTGATGCTCATCATCACTGACCATCAGGGAAATCCAAATCAAATCCATGAGATATCATCTCACACCAGTCAGAATGGCTAAAACCAACACAAGAAAAAGTATTGGCAAAGACATGGAGAAAAAGACTCTCCGAGCGCTGTTGGTGGAAATGCAAACTGGTACAGCCACCGTGGAAGACAGTGTGGTGGCTCCTCAAACAAGTACAAAGAGGGGCACCTGAGTGGCTCAGTTGGTTAAGCCTCTGACTCTTGATCTCAGCTCAGGTCTTGATCTTAGGGTCATGAGTTCAAGTCCCCTGTTCAAGCTCCCCCTCCCAGTGTGGAGCCTAGTTAAATAAAAATAAAAATAAAATAAAATAAAAGGTAAAAAACAGCACTACCTTATGATCCGGGAATTCCGCTACTGGGTATTTACCAAAGAATACAAAAACACTAATTCAGAGGGGTACACACACCCCTATGTTTACCGCAGCATTATTTACAATAGCCAAACCATGGAAGCAGCCCAAGCGTCCATCAGTAGACAAATGGATAAAGAAAAGGTGGTAAAGAGAGAGAATGGAATGTTACTCAGTCATGAAAAGGATGAAATTTTGCCATTTGCAGTGACATGGATGGATCTAGAGTGTAATTCTCAGGGAAATAAGTCGGAGAAAGACAAATACCCTATGATTTCACTCAGATGTGGAATTTAAGCAACAAAAGAAAAGAACAAAGAAGGGGAAAGAGAGAGAGAGAGGCGACAAACCAAAAGCCGTACTGTTAACTCTAGAGAACAGATGGTTAGTGGGGAAGGTGAGGGGGTGAGACAGGTGATGGGGATTAGGACATGTACCTCGACAAGCACTAGTTGTGGAATTGTTGAATCACTAAACTGTACACCTGGCCCTAATAGGACACTCCATTAACTACACTAGGATTTTTTTTAAGGCCAGCATTAAAAGAGAAAATCATCACTAAGGACATACAAAGCCCCAAGTCACGGAATGGGAGAAAATATTCATGACACATGGATCAAACAGAGGAGTTGTGTCAACGATGCCTAACACTCTCACGGCTCAGTAAGTCAAATGTCCCAACGAGAACATGGGTGGTTGATCTGCGAACACTTCACCAAAGAGGATATTGAAAGGATCGATAAGCACATCCAAAGATGCTTGACGTCATTAGTTACCAGCAACGCCATCAAAATTAGAAATGCCAACTCAAACCAGGAGGCATCACTACACACCCATTAGAACAGCTAGAATTCTCCACTAACGGAGAACCTGACCCGCTGTGGTGCGTGTGTAAAACACCTGCCGCTCTCAGACACTGCGAGTGGGAAAGGAAAGCAGTGCAACCGCTTTGGGAAACACTTCAAATTTTCCTTTAAAAGTTAAGCACGGGGGCACCCCAGCTGGTTAAGCGTCTGCCTTCGGCTCAGGTCATGATCCCAGGGTCCCCAGATCGAGCCCCACATCGGACTCCCTGCTTGGCAGGGAGTCTGCTTCACCCTCAGCCTCTCTCTCCCTCAAGTAAATAAGTAAAATCTTTAAAAACAAATAAATAGGGATTCCCGGGTGGCTCAGCAGTTGAGTGTCTGCCTTCGGCCCAGGGCCTGATCTTGGAGACCCAGGATCGAGTTCCACATCGGGCTCCCTGCATGGAGCCTGCATCTCCCTCTGCCTGTGTCTCAGCCGCCCCCCCCTCCCGTGTGTCTCATGAATAAATAAATATTTTAAAAACAAACAAACAAATAAATAAAAGCTAAGCATACACCTGCCATAGGATCCAGCTATTTCACTCACGGGTATTTACCAAGAGAAATAGAAAATGTGACTAGGCGGAGAATCGTTCACAAATATCTGTAGCAGGTGGGGAAACCTGTGCACCTGTTGTGTGAAGCCGCTCAGTTTGGGCTGGTTCGTTACACAGCCAAGCAGACTGATGGGGGGGGGGGGCTTCCTCCCCAGCCAGGGCCCAGGTGGGGGGAGGGGTGGGAGTGAGCCTGGGGAGTGGGGAGGAGCAGGCACAGGGCAAAGGGAGAGGTGACAGTGGCTTGAGCAGAAGGCAGGGGTGTGCGCGGCCAGACCCAGCAGGACTGACCCAGCAGGACTGACGGGCCACAGGGCCGCCAGCAGGTAGAGCACCGTCGGAGTGCCCAGCACCCACAGCCCCCTCATCTCCTCCGGGCTGGTTCCATGAGGAGCTGGAGCTCAGGGCCCAGGCCACCAGGGCCGCTTCATCTCCCTGTGCCTCAGTCTCCTCGTCCTTGCGGTGAGGATTGCGCCTCAAAGTGCTCACCCCCACCAACTCCTGCTGCCTGAGGCTGGGAGGAGACCCCGGGAGGAGGAAGACCCCAGCCAGCCCCCCAGCCCTGTAGAGGCCTCCAGCTATGCTCCGGGGCCTTCCAGGGCCCCAACCTCACCACCCCCCAAGGGCTGGGGTTCTTGGATAAGCAAGTCTACCGGCAGAGACACCACTGGGGGGCGGGGGAGTCGTGTCCGCTGTCTACAGGGGAGGCTTCCTCTAGCCCAGAGCCACTGGAGCCCCAAACCCCATTGTGTGTCTGTGGTGCCCGCAGATGCCGGGCCAGCCAGCGCTTCAACCCCACAGGCCTCCGGTGAGCGCCCCCTGCCCACCGGGTCCGAGGCTCGAACAATTCCGTGCACCAGCCCCCGGAAGAGAAGGCGATTTCAGCAGGCTCAGGCACCTGGGGGCTGTCGAGGAAGCTTTGCGGGCACCCGGCCAAGTGCTTGCTCACCGCATCGCCCTGAACCGCGGACGGGGGACACCGGGACATCAGGTGCGGCCCGCGCAGGCCGACAGTCCCTGCGCACGATCGCGCACCGGGCGCCACGTCCGGCTGCGCCACCTGAGGCCCCTGACAAACCCCACAAACCTCGGGTGCCTCATCTGTGAAATGGAAAGAGCAACGGTCACTTCAAAAATAATGACCGTGAACTCGCGGCCCTCTCTGTCCTAGCATCGTGGGTCGTGGTCAGGTGCGCCCAGCTGGCCACGGGCCCCTGCACAGGTGCGGGGAGGGGGGCGGGAGGCGGGCGGCAGGTCCGGGGCGCCAGGTGCAGATGCGCTGCGGAGGCCGGTCCCTGGCGGAGGCCGGTCCCTGGCGGAGGCCGGCCCGCCGCTGCCCCAGTTATCACAGCAGAAGCCGCAGCTTCCCGGGGCCCCCGCCGGGGCAAATGCCTGGCCCGATGGCGCGGAGATAGCGCTGCTGAGTAAATAAATTTGCTGGCGGAGCTGCTGGGCCCGCGGCCTCGAGTTCTCGGGTTCTCGACACCCGAGCCTCCGCGGACATTCCAGCCGCGGGGGGGGGGGGGGTAGGCGGGGGCGGGCCGCGGGGCCGGGGGGGCCGGGCGCATCCCCCACCCGGGGCTCCGGGCCCCCGCCGCCGGCCTGGGGCCCCCGGGGCCAGGGCTCAGTCCTGCGGAGGGGGGACGGCGGAGCCGTTGGAGCCCCCGAAGGAGCCTCTCCGCTCAGTCCCCGCACCCCGTCCCGCCGCGCCTCCCTCCCCGGGCCCCTCTCCGTCCCAGCCCGCCCCCCCACACCCCACCCCGGCCGGCCAGGGCCCCCTGCCCTCACCCTCGCCCGCTTCGGCGTGGCCGGAGGGGCGGACAGTCACCAGGGGAGGGACGGGGCGCGGGGGACGCCAGGGGGAAACGCGCCCCAAATGGCCTGCGCGGGGCACCTGCCCGCCCTTCCCCCGCCCCTCCCGCAGGGGCGCCGCCCGCGTTGCCAGGACTTCCACAGCATCCTCCCGGTGTGCCCGGTTCCGGAGGGGGGTCCCCGGGAGGAGCCGCCGGCCGGCCGTGGCGCGGGGACCCCGGGAGCGCTCACCTGCGTCCATGGCGCACGCCTCCCGCCGCCGTCGGGCCGGGCTCGCCTGGGGCCGCGGGCTCGGGTTTCCCGGAGGCGGCTGCGCGGCGGGTTAATGATTGACCGCCCGGGGCCACCTGCGGCCGCGCGCCGAGCGGGGAGGCGGGGAGGGGCCGGGGGACCCCGCGCGGGAGGGGCCGGGACCCAGGGCGCCCGGGGACCGCGGCTGCCCAGCCCGCCTGCCCGTTTCCCGCCGCCAGAAATGCCAGAGAGAAGAGTTTCGCGGGCCACGTCCTGAGTGTGAAACCGCGAGTGTGCGTGTCCGCTGGCCGGCGGGCGCCCCCGGGGCCGGTGTCCGGGGAACACGAGGAAGGCTCCGCCGGCGGCCCCACGCGCTCCGCGGCGTCCCGCTGAGCCCCCGGCAGGAGGGGCCGGGCGGAGGTGGGTCGGACAGGAAGCCTGGGGGTGCCCGCCACCGGGGTGCATCCTCAGAAGGGGATTTAAAGACCGTGAAAGTGACTAGCAGTTGCCCTGCTTTTCATCACGACTGGCATTCCCAAGGCCATCAAATATATTCAAGATTTTTTTTTTTCAGGATTTTAATAAATTTGCTTTAGGGGCACCTGGGTGGCTCTGGTTGAGCGGCTGCCTTCAGCTCAGGTCGTGATCCCGGGGTCCTGGAATGGAGTCCCGCATGGGGCTCCCGGCCCGGAGCCTGCTTCTCCCTCTGCCTGTGTCTCTGCCTCTCTCTCTGTCTCATGAGTAAATAAATTAAATCTTTAAAAAAAAAAAAAAGGTCTTAGTTTTTATTGTGCTAAAAGGTAATGGACAAGCTAGGGCAAAAAATTAAAAAAAAAGTTAGCAATGTGCCAAATGATTCTAGCACATTAAAAAAAAAACAACAACAACAACAGACACTTTGTTTGACACAGGGAGAGCACACAAGCAGGGGAAGGGCAGAGGGAGGGGGAGAAGAAGGGGCCCTGCTGAGCAGGGAGCTCCTTGCCGGCTGATCCCAGGACCCTGGGAATAGAAAATCACCATGAGAACAGCCCAGGGATCATTGCCACAGGCCAGACCCACCAACAGATGCTAAACTGAGCAGGTGAAAGTTGTTTAAGCAGAAACTCTATCTGGATGGTCTCGAAGTGCCTCCTTCAGAATACTTTCCAGTACAAAGAAGGACAGTAAGTTTACAGTGGAAACCCTAGCAGATGTCCCTGTAGCCAGGGATGGAGATTAGCATCACTAGTGACACCTGAGGATGTCACGTGCCCCGGTGTGAGGCCTGCTCAGCGGAGGTTCCCTCCCAAGGACACAAACTCCATCACACCAAGAGAAAGCCTCAGGGGCACTGGGCTGGCTCAGTCGGTGGTGTGTGACTCCTGATCTTGGGTTGTGGGTTCGAGCCCCACATCGGGTGTAGAGATGACTTAATTTTTTTTTTTTAATCTCTTAAGAAAACCTCAGACAAATCCATCAGAGGAGCATTCTACAAAGCATTTTCACGTTTCACTTTCTTTGCACAGCAAGAATTTCCATTTCGTCTTTTTTGGCAGATTGTATTGTTGGACCCTGGCTCACGGGTGCCAACGTGTCCCGGTGGACGCCCCAGAGACCCAGACCCCAGACAGGCAGATGCAATCAGCAAGAGGGTTTATTGAACGTTTGCGCAAACGGGCTCTCCGCCTCCGAGGAGGAAAAGAGCCCCATTAGCAATTACAGGGATCTTTTAAAGGCAAAAGGAAAGAAACGCCTAAAGACAAAAGAACCGCGGGAGTCGCATAGCATCCAGGTTGATTTCACAGAGGGTCAACTTGAACCTATTCAGGGACATTCCAATCAGGGTGTGGGGGGAAATGGTTTTCTTATTGTGAACAGAATGCTTTTAGTTGCTAAAATTTCAGGAAGGCGCCTGGATGGGCTGCCTCTGGGTTAGGGCTGGCCCTACTTACAAGGGGGGAGGTTTCTTCAGTATTTTTATTTAAGATTTTATTTGAGAGAGAGAGAACACAAGCAGAGGGAGGGACAGAGGCAGAGGGAGAAGCAGACCCCCCACTGAGCAGGAGGCAGACACCACCGACTGAGCCACCCAGGCGCCCCTGTACATTTTAAGTAATCTCCATACTCAACATGGGGCTCGAACTCACAAACCTGAGATCAAGAGTCACATACTCTACCAACTGAACCAGCCAGGCGCTCCCCACCCCCCGTGCCCCCCATTTGGTTCTTTTAAGTCTACAGTTTTTTCCTATATTTTTTCTGTTGTTACATTAGTCCACGTGCTTCCTCTTCCAATGGTTTTTAAACTTTTCACTTGAAAGTAATTTCAGACTCAGTGAAAAGTTGCATGGGTGACACACATGGCGGGTAAGGCTTTCCTGGCACATTTTCCTAGCATGGAATCTACTCCAGGACTGGGCGCTGCATTTAGTTGCTATTCCTTCACTTTTCTAGACCTCTTTTAAAAATCTTTCCAGGGCAGCCCCAGTGGCGCAGCGGTTTAGTGCTGCCTGCAGCCCAGGGTGTGATCCTGGGGAACCAGGATCAAGTCCCACATCAGGCTCCTTGCATGGAGCCTGCTTCTCCCTCTGCCTGTGTCTCAGCCTCTCTCTCTGTGTGTGTGTGTCGCTCATGAATAAATAAATAAAATCTTAAAAAAAATAAAAATCTTTCCAAATCAGTGTGCCGTCACTAGTTCCTCAGACATGACGGGGCCCCTCTGCCACATCAGGGGACTGTTCCGCGTGTGGCAGGTACCCCCAGGGCCTTTGTCACCGTGTGAATTAGCCTGCATCTTCTCAAGGCGCCCTGGGACGTGAGACAGTTCTGCATCAGCCTCCATGGATCCTCACCAAAGTCACCGCCATGGACCGTTTTACAGTAGCGTCTCCTCTGGGGCTTCTGCTCCACATGCGTGGCCATGCGCAATGCACCCCCAGGGCTCCACTTTCTTAGGGGTGACTCTACCCAGAGCCACGGGTATCGTGGTTGGCTCACGTTCACCAAAGGGCAGTCTCTTTCAGGCTCCAGCTGTATGCAGAGAGCAAGTGGCTTTGACTCCCACCCCCAAAGCATAGTCTGGTCCTGGTCCCCCCACAGGCAGCTTGGCTCCAACCCCTGCTTACGAGGACCTTCCTCATTCAAGGGCCTGGCTGTCCTATTTTCCTGTCTTAGAACAGAGATTATGCACTTCTCAGTGTTGGGAGGGTGCATGGGTGCGGATAGGGGTGTGTTGACTTTCTATACCTACTAGCTCGGCAATCTTGACTGGAAGCCTTGGGCCAGTCATGTGATGATGTCTCTGTGCCTCAGTTTCCCCATCAGGAAAATGCAATAATAATAGTAGCCATATCATAGGGCTGTTGTAAGGCTTTACAATTGTGTAGAAATCACGATTACATGATTGTGTAAGATATGGAACCAAACCTTGTTTATCATCTCACTGTCTACCCACCGCCCTGGGGGACCAGGGGATCAGTGCTGGAATATGAAACCACTGCCTTCCCCGGGCAAGGGGTGATTTCAGCGTGCATGTGTGTGTGCATGCACACACACACATTTTCTGCAATGAGCATGGGTTACTTCTAAGATTAGGGAGATGGAGTAAATGCTTCTTCACACACGGCCTCCTGGGGCGCCTGGGTGCTCAGTCAGTTAAGTGGCCTTGATGGTTATTTTGGTTCAGGTCACAATCTCAAGGTCCTGGGAACAAGCTCCGCTAACAGGAAGTCTACTTGAGGATTCTCTCTCTCCCTCTGCTCTTCCCCCGCCCCCCCCCCCCCGCTTGTGCGCGTGCTCTCTCGCTTTCTCAAATAAATAAATCTTTTTTTTTTAATTTTTATTTATTTATGATAGTCACACACACACAGAGAGAGAGAGAGAGGGGCAGAGACATAGGCAGAGGGAGAAGCAGGCTCCATGCACCAGGAGCCCGACGTGGGATTCGATACTGGGTCTCCAGGATCGCGCCCTGGGCCAAAGGCAGGCGCCAAACCGCTGCGCCACCCAGGGATCCCAAATAAATCTTTTAAAAAATAAAAACATGGGAACCTGGGTGGCTCAGTCAGTTAAGTGTCTGCCTTCAGCTCAGGCCATGTTCCCAGGGTCCTGGGATGGGGCCCCATGAGGGGCTCCCTGCTCAGTGGGACTCTGCTTCTCCCTCTGCCCCTCCTCCTGCTTGTGCACATACTCTCTCTCAAATTAAAAAAAAAAAAAATTACCAAAAAACTGACACCTGGTCAGCTCTTTAAGTGTTGAGTACCAGCCTGTGTTCAATAAAAGCTTAGAGGGATGCCTGGGTGGTTCAGCGGTTGAGCATCTGCCTTTGGCTCAGGTCATGATCCCCGGGGTCCTGGAATCAAGTGCCACATTGGGCTCCTGGTGAGGCACCTGCTTCTCCCTCTGCCTGTGTCTCTGCCTCTCTCTCTGTGTCTCTCATGAATAAATAAATAAATAAATAAATAAATAAATAAATAAATAAAATCTTTAAAAAAATAAATAAAAGTTTAAAGATCTACTTGGAATGGACATTTTTGCAGGTGATTGGGCTGGCAAAGGGGGTGGGGAAGGAAGGCAGCCTTGGAGGGCAGGGGGGAGGGTGAGGAGGAGGACAGGGACAGAGAATCTCAGAGGGTTCCTTTTACCAGTCCTGCCTCATTTGCTTCTGAGAAACCCAAAGGTTGCTCAACCCTGTGCCCAATCCAGCGACAACAAACATTTACCGTGGGGAGGGGAGGCTCAGCCCAGCGAGCCAGCCGGGGCCTGCCCTCGTGGGGCTTCTGCTCTGCAGACCAGCATCAAGCAATTGCAGAATCCACAGCTTACCTGCAGCTGTGTCGGGAGCCCCCCCCCAGGAGAAATGCCCAGGCCTCTGAGGACCTAGACGGGCCCCGCTTCATCCAGCTGGGGAGGGCTGCTGGGAGGAGTTAGCCCTCCAAGGGGAAGGATGCGACAGTGGGGAGGAAGGGTCCAGGCCTGAGGCTTGGGGGCAGTCAGTGAGAGTCAGAGAAGCAGTGGTTGGGGACTGGCCGGCTTGCGGGGTGAAAGACGCGCTGGCTTTGTGGTCTCCGAGAACCAGTTAGCCTTGGAGGGCAGTCTCCCGGGGCCTATAAGGCCCCCGAGGCCAGAGCATCAAGAATACCAAGAAAATATGAAAATATAGTTAATGTAATTGGCCCTGTGAGGAATGGATGCCAAAGAGACGAATACAGAATGGAAGAACACCCAGACCAGGCTCCGCCTCAGGGCCCTTGGTGTGCTTTCGGCATAAAAGCAGCTTATCAGGGGTGCCTGGGTGGCTCCGTCAGTTAAGTGTCTGCTTCTGGCTTAGGTCGTGATCCCGGGGTCCTGGGATCAAATCCTACATTGGGCTCCCCACTCAGCGGGGAGCCTGGGTCTCCCTCTGCCTCACCCTGCTCATGTTCTCTCTCCCTCATTCACTCTCCCTCTCAAATAAAAAAAAAAAAAAAGAGAGAGAGAGAGACAGAGAGAAAGAGAGGGAGAAGCAGGTTTCTAGCAGGGAGCCCGATGCAGGACTTGATCCCCCGACTGGGATCATGACCTGAGCTGAAGGCGAGCCACACAGGCATCCCTCAAATAAATAAAATCTTTTTTTTTTTTTTAAGATTTTACTTATTTATTCATGACAGACACAGAGAGAGAGGCAGAGACACAGGCAGAGGGAGAAGCAGGCTTCCTGCAGGGAGCCCGACGTGGGACTCGATCCCGGGTCTCCAGGATCACACTCCATGCTGAAGGCGGTGCTAAACCGCTGAGGCACCGGGGCTGCCCTAAAATCTTAAAAAAAAAGAAAAAAGAAAAAAAGAAAAAGAAAAGAAAAGCAGCTTATCAAAGCCCCACTCTTTGGTTTGAATTGGCCAATCCAGCCCTGGCCCGGGACTCCCAAAGCACCTCACCCGCAGACCCAACAAAGGCGTGTGCCCCAGGTCCTGCCTCTCTGCACTCTCTGCCTTGACCTCCCTGTGTGGCCCCTCCAGGAAGGCCCTGTACTTCCTCCAGGACCCATCAGCAATAAACGTCTCTATTTCTCTGTGGTCTATTGCAACTCTGCTCACCTTTTGGCACCTGTGTTCCACTTAACGAATGTTCATTTTACAAAGTCATAGAATTGCCCCATTTGGGAAAAAAGTAAATGCAGAGTAATTACATAACTGCCAGAGGTCACACAGCAGAGGCAAGGTTGACGACTCTCTCAGCGCAGAACCTGGCCCCCAATCCTGCTGGGAGCACTAGGAGCAGAAAGATGGTCCTCTCATTTTTTTTTTTTAAGATTTATTTATTTATTTATTTATGAGAGAGAGAGAGAGAGAGAGGCAGAGACACAGGCAGAGGGAGAAGCAGGCTCCATGCACCGGGAGCCCGACGTGGGACTCGATCCCGGGTCTCCAGGATCGTGCCCTGGGCCAAAGGCAGGCGCCAAACCGCTGCGCCACCCAGGGATCCCCGGTCCTCCCCGTTTTAAGCTCCTGCGTGATTTCCTCTCATGCGCCCTCATCCTCTTCAGTCTGTCCAGGTCACAGACTCAGGAGGTCCCAGTCCCCTTGCACCCCTGCCCCCTGATCAGCAGACGCTGCCCGTAGACCCTCCTGAGATGGGTTAGTGCCTCTGAAGTTACATCAACAGCGACGTTGCCTGGTGTCTGCACTTACTGTGATCTCTCGATTTCATGCTTCATCATATATTCAGGCAGGGCTCCCAGGGCATTAGGAGCTGCATCTACAGTCTTGGTGCTTTGGGGAAATACACAATCTGAACCCATCAGCATTATCCTCTCTGTGCAGGTGCCGCGGGGTCAGGGGTACCCAGCAGGCTGGGTCTCACAGCCCGGAGTCAGAGGTCATGGTTGTCAGCAGCCCGTGCTGAGGAGGTCAAGGAGGCGACACCTGCTGCAGGGGCGGCGGGGAACCCCGAAGGCGGGGGTGGGGGCGTTAGGAAACGGTCGGCCCCGAAGGAGGCCCGGCTGCAGCGGGTGAGGGAGGCAGCTCGCCGTCGGGGAGGACGCGGGGTGGGAGCAGGAGCCCCGCCGCGCTCTCGGGGTGGCCGCCTACGAGGCCATGAAGTCGGGGAGTTTCCGACTCCGGGCTCAGGGTGCTGACTTGCGGCCCTGGCGCTACCCTTGCCCCGGCCGGGCTCTCCCCTGGCGGGGGGCGGGGGGGCGGGGGGGGGCATCCCCGACGCCCCAGGCCCCAGGGGCGCGGACGGAGGGAACTTCGCGGTCTCCGCCTCCGCTGCAGAGGCCGCCGCGAGCGTGCAAACCCCCGAGCTGCGCTGCGCAGCGGCTTCCCTCCGGCTCCCACCGCAAAGCTGCGGCACCGGGCCGAGCACCGCCCAGCCGCAGGTGAGCCGGCCTGCCCCGCGCAGGCGCAGCGCCCTCCGTCGCCTCGGACTACAACTCCCGCCTTGCCCCGCGCGCTCCCGCCGACGCGCCGCGCCGCGCCGCGCGCCTCCCGGACGTGGAGCCCCGGGCGGGGGGCGGCGGCTGCTTCGGGGAGGCGGCGGGAGTCGGGAAGCCGATGCGGGCGGGCGGAGCCCGGGATGGCTTCGGCTGGAGGCGGCGACTGCGAGGCCGCCGCTCCGGAGGCGGACCGCCCTCACCAGCGGCCCTTCCTGATCGGGGTGAGCGGCGGCACCGCGAGCGGGAAGGTAAGGGGCCGGCGGGGCCGGTGCGACCCCCGACCCTCGGGCCCCCGGGCGGACGGCCCCGCCTCCTCCAGGGCGGGGGGCGGGGGGGCGGGGGGCTGCGGCCGCGGCGGCGGGCGGGCGGGCGGGGGGCTGCCCTCGGGCCCCCGGCCTCCCCGCGGGCCTCGCCCCTCCGGGCCCCGGGCGCGGGCTGCCGCTGCCAGTGCCTCCCGGGCAGCCCCGGGGGCCGGTGGGTCAGGTCCGGAGGCCAGCCCCGGGCAGGC